TCACCAACTTTCTTATCTCGGCAGATTTTTCACGTACCGGGGTCCCTCTCGAAAGAAAGCCCACTGAAAGAAACCTAGGTAATTAATACTTCGACACAGCAGTCTTTGAGTTGAAGGATTTTTGTAGTAAAGTATGATTTAAACAAGAACAGGAATGTTGATGAACATGCAGCGGTACTTAGTTTCATTTTATAGAAAGCGCCATATTTGCAGCGACGGGAGGACGGCAACACCCGACGTCGCGCGACCACGGTGACTAGAAGGCAGGGACCAAATATAGTTTTCCAACGGCTGTTGCATTCAGGAGCGAGTGCTTCAGTTCACAAAAAAAAAGTTCCCGCCGAACAAAAAAGCGGTTTCGTTTCACAGCATGACGGCAAGGCTAGTATCCAAAACGCTATAGCGTCGGATCCTCCGCACACATCCGCGTCTATCGTTAAAAATAATAAAAAAAAAAAAGCGAGACGAGACTGACGAGACGACGAGTGCGCGAAACGCCAGATGGCGGGAAAACCACGCAGGACCGGAAGGACGATTGATACAGGGTACTTTGTGTTGGTCGGCCGCTTGCGCCACATAACACAGGCATGCTCAATTACGGTGCTCAGAATAGTTTCGGTTTTGAAAGGAGACTGAAATTGGTCTTTTGGCGCAGGCTTGGCGCAGATTACCCATATTTTGGCAAAATGTAGCGGGATGTAGCAGGGTTAGCCCCTTGGCGCAGTTTGGCGCAATTGGCGCAGCAATCACATCACTGAGCTTTGTAAGTCCTTCGTTCAAACTAGCCCTCTCACGCACGCACACATAGAAATAAAATAAATCCTGCTTACGGTACCTAATTGCCGCCCATAAGAGAAGCAGAACCGAAGAATGTCTAGAGCGGATGCAAAATATAACAAAGCCAGTTCAGATACAGGTCAAGATCCCGTATTTCCCCTACGTGGGCTTTGTGACAAGCAAGGATCGAGGTTGGAAGTAGTTTATTGTTATGAGCGCTAAAGACGTAAGTCTTCCACAATAAAGTAATCGGAAAAGTAACGGTTACTTCTCTAAGTAATGTCCAGTTACTTTTGCTGTCAATTAATCAAGTAATCTAATCGAATAATTTTTAGCCAAAAGTAATAGTAATTGTAAGTGATTACTTCTTCAGTAACGTGTACAAGACTGGTTGCGAGTGTTTGTTGTGAACGTGTATACCAGTTCAACTGCACATTTACTTTGGTAAAAAAGTGGTCACTCATGTAACAGTTTAGATTTCTGCAATTTATCGCCGAAAGGTAAGCTGCCTGTCAAAAAATGATGAACACATTTTCATCTTAAAAGTATTTTCTTTTCGTGGAGTTAACAGCACTGAGTGTTCGAAAACAAAACCACTTACTTTGTCTTTTCTTGTTTAAGTAAACGTCGTCAGGGACGAATTTTGTGTTTTGTTCCTTATTTAGGATGATGCACCCAAGAAAACAAACAAAATAATTTACTTTAAACAAAAATCTAATTGATTTGTGTTAAGGTTTTGATTGACATTCCCCCTTCTGTTGTTTTTCACAAAGCTTGTACACTTTGTTTTGGAATAATCTGGTTACATGGGGAGGGATGACACTTACCTACAAACATTACAGTTTCGACGAAACGATCGACCAATAAGCAAATTTCGGAAAATTCGGGTATAGTGCAACAAAAAAGTCAGCAGAACTTTGTAATAATCTTATTATTTCCGTACGCCACATGACTTTTTTTTTGTCTCTTTTGTGCCGTTCTACTCACTGAAACATTAAAATGTATAAAATTGACATGATTCTAATCATCGACTTCCATTACTTCTGAGAGTCCCTTCATAATGTAGGAGATGTTTAAGAAAGAAACACTACTATTTAAAACTCGCTTACGCGAAAATGAAAGGGACACCTCACAAACACAAATGTTTGTAACGAGAAAAAATACTGGGGCTTTTTAAGTGCGGGTATGCAGATAGTTTAGGAGCCCGTTTTTTATATGTGCTAAGTTAAAATACAGTCTATCGCGTCGCAAATGGAATTCCACCTAACTTTAAGGACTTGTTCGTAGAAAGCTGTGGAAATTATGTAGGTTATGTTTTACCACTCAGGCAAAACTAAATATATGTAAATTATACCACCTCGTTGTATTTTGTGTTTCGTCGTCCCATTACTTGTCATTTGCAGCTTGTATGAAACAGAAGAACAGAAGGACTAACTTCAAACAAATTTAACACGCGCGTACTTGGCTTTATTCCCAAAGAAACTCCCAAAAACTCATTTCCTTATAGTAAAACAGCATTTTTTTTGTGTGCTTTTTTCAATTAGTATGAAAAGAGCTTTATTATTAAAAGAAGCCACAGAAGCAAGTGATGCATCGTATTATTTTCACGAATGAACTCTTCGCGCACCAGCATTTTATATATTCTTCTCTATGTTTCACAATGGAACAAAGCAGCCAGTTTTTGTGACTCTGTAAGATTAAGATAATAAAAGGAGACCATAAAAACCCGGAGAAAAAAAATGGAGACAAACGGAAGCTTAGTCCGGGTCACTACTTGCATTGAAGTTTTTCGCGCCGCGTGCGATCGCACAAAGGGGAGCTTCAGAAAAAAAAAAACAAAAAAAAAACCGATGAGTCGACGGCATTAAAGAGGACGTGCAATTGTCTCCCATTTTCTGAACTTATTTCAATCCGACGGCGAGATTTCGTACTCCACCATTGTGTTTCCAAATGTATGTGAATTAAAAAAAAATATTACCATGGTCAGCTTCAAGAATGCAAGACGTGGTAAGTCCCGAGCTTGTTATGACCACTCCGCAGCCGGCGAGATTCCGACGTTAGCCGTAACTAACGTCAAAGGACGAATCACAGAGCAAGACCGTAAACATACAAATTCACGCCCTGAATTTCTTAAGTTGTGAATGATGAAACGTGCTCTCCATTAATGTGCTTAACCATTTTTTACAGTATAAAAAGGCGAGCGTGTAAGTTTTTCAAACAACGCAGGAGATCCAAAAAATCTCAAATAACATTTCGACGCTCTACGCATAGGTATTTATTCAGGAGGTTAAAGTGTAAAGAGTCGCTGGAGTAGAATCAACACTTTCTTAACAACAAACGACTTGTGTTCTAACTGACTGAACAGGAGCGCTAACCGAGCTCTGATGCAGAAATCGTGTCCATTTTGTTTCTCAGCGTGGCCCTCTTCAGGTAACGCCGAAAATTCAGCCCAACGGCTTCATAATCTAGGGGAGATGGGTAGAGGCCGCCTAGATCTGACCAACGGAAGGTGTTGAAGCCTGACTGGCGGTGCCTTTGTTTATCCGTAAACAACTCAGAGGCCAACCAGGCTTGTATTTGTGATGCATGCCGTCACGCATGCGGTATTTAGATATTATTTTCAACCAGACACGTCTCCGCACCAACCTCTAAAACCGGCGTTGGCCGTTTTTGCTGCTCCTAACAAAATGGTGAAGCACCGAGCATTCTTTTGGCCTGAGCGACGCCATTCTGCCATGGGAGCACGCTGGTTTCACTTGAAGAGCCGCGTCTCTACTGCAGCGATTTTGTTTTATGATCAACTTGTATTTCTTATGAAGTTCGGCATGCGCTGCTTCTCAACGAAGATTGCATTTCTTTTTCGTCGATGTTCACTGGCCTTTATTCATAATTCGTTCCACAGAGGTAGGTTATTGGTTCTTTATAGCTAAACGATTAGCAAGCAGCCTTGGCTAAGCTCTTAGTTTTTCTTGTCCTGTTTCTTTCTTTCGGTACTAGAGATTATTAAAGCGGGGGGGGTTGCAATAATTTTAAGATTAAAATAATTCGCATCTTGTTATTTTTACGTTGTTCATCGTGCCCTGGAGAATAGAGAAAACGTCTCCTTGATTAAATGATGTCGCGATTCCGCTGCATAATCGCAAAGCAAAAGTCGAGCTTTTTCTTCCACCTGCAGCCGCGAGCGGGAACCGAAGGAACTACGGCGCGAAGCTTACGTGACCTCGCTCGGCTTTAAGCTACAGCATAACGCCCGCTAATGTCAGCAGAGAGAGGGAGAGCAAGCATCCTCCGAGAGAGCGCACGGGGACCTACAAGGCACCCCAAATTGCGCCACTAGGAGTGCGACCAGGTGTGACCCTGAAGACTGGGAGTGAGTTGAGGGGTGCCAGAAATGCCAATATTTATCTCTTCTTTTTTCTTTTAACACAACAACTAAGACATACAGGCGAAATCGGTTTTCTGTTCTTTAGAAAGTGTCAGACGGCAACTTCCACAAATTTTTGACCGAAGTCCGGAAATCGTTGCACAGCCCCTTTAACAAAGTAATCAAGGTACGCAATGAAATATCCTCGCAAGCCGTGAGCGATCACCGCCATTTTCTTCTGAGACATGGTGGCGTCGACCAGTATGATCACTTTCATATTTTTCATAAATTAATGAATGAATAAAGTAATGTGTGTGTGTGTGTGCGTGCGTGCGTGCGCGCGAGTGCGTGTGTGTGTGCCTGTGTGTGTGTGTGCCTGTGTGTGTGTGCGCGTGTGTGCGCGTGTGTGCGTATGTGTTGTGAGGGGAGGAGGGGTAATAACCAGACCATAACAATCACGATCGTTTACCTAGACAACAAAACCTTGACATCGAACATTCTAGATGACGGATGTCCCATCTAAACGCAAGCCGGTATAATTTGCATATTGTAGCGGCATGCTGTGCGCGGAAAGCACCCTCTCAGTTTGATTGGATGGGATAATAGGGTTCTTCCTTCCACCACTTCCGACCGCATAGGTGTTGTCGACAACAAGACGAAAAAATGAAAACGAAATTTCTCACATGCTGATATCATTCGTCGAAAACGTGAGTTGCGAAGAGAAATGAGATGTGGAGGTGCTCAAAGACTATATTTATGCAACTGATTTGGGATCGAATGACTTGAGTAGATAGAAGTACGAAGCTAAAAATTATGATGGTTTATAAAAAAAAAAAAGCGAGCAAATAGGCGTACTCACCTTCGGTGTTCACGGTGGAGATGTATGTCCAATTGTACATGAGCAGGGCGTCGACCATCATTTGCGATTGGTACTGGTCCGAAGGGACCACGCGCAGAAAGTACTTGAAGAACTGCTTGTTGCTCAGCTGGCGGGAGGTGGCCGAGTAGCCTATCTGCGGAATGTTAAACAGCTGCAGCAGGTTCTGCACCTGCGCAAGCGTAAAAAAAAAAAAAAAAGTTAACGTCGATTGTGTAGCGCAAGTCACGTGGTCTCTTTTACAGCCCGAGATTGAAGCCCTACAAAATGGCTTGCTTGCACGATTACTGAGGCACTGGAAGTACTTTTTCATAAATCAAGCGCTGGAGCCTGAACCACCTGCTATTTAACGCAGAGCTTTGAATATAACGTAAAGCTGCAAATCAAACTTCCGTACATTCGTCAACGTACAACGAACGTCCAATGTAAAATCTAAGATTGCACACATTAAAAAAAAATTAAAAGAGCTTCCTAATTTGTATTAGAAAAAAGAAATTTACCTTTTCTAAAAAGTGTTTTGCTTCGTGAATAGTTATTCATTGTAGCAGGTGTCACACCGATAAACCAAATGAACGCCTTAATAAAGACTTCACCATGAACGTTCAGGCTGTTCCCACGCTTACGACTTCAAAGGAAACTTTAGGTAACGGTCTGCACGCCAGTAGGCGATGTAGGTAAAATCTTTTTGTGACAGTACAAAACAAATGTCCGAACATGGTTAACGGTTCGCACAAAAAGACAGGGAGAAAGAAAATAAACAACAGGCAAGCGCGTTTCTTTTTTGTTTTTGTTTTTGTTTTAGAAGCACGTTTACGAATTTTTTTTTTCTGTCACTGTTATTTTGTCCGCAAATTCAATTATGTTTAATCAGTACTAACGCGCCTCCTTGACCAGCATACTGCAGAAAAATTCATTCTTTCAAGCGGATATGTAATTTTTCCAATGCCTGATAATATGCTTGCGTTTAGGAGCGCCTCGAATTTGTTGCTGACAGTGCAACTCTTATACAGTGCACATCGTCGCCAATAGTTCTTATATTAACCTTTTTTTCCTCATCCAGTGCGTGTGTCCTCTTTATTCTCTTACCCGTAATTGCACTTACTACAATTTCTTTCCACTAAACAACGGTAGAAACAGCTAAATCTAGCAAGAAGTATTATAGTTCGGCAACAATCACCAAATGGAAGGTGTAGCACCAACAACTCCAAGATAACAAAACCATAGTGCTGGATGTCAAATCCTACGTTGCCTACGTGAGGCGATCTCGAGGACGCACATATTAAACACGAGTGCTGCGTCGGCATTCGGCTGGGACTCGAGCTCAATCAGTTAGGACACCCAGACCCTGTACCCATGTGCATCCGTGCCACATGTTAGCGTCGTAAGGGGACGTTTATAGTTCAGCCCTCGTGCCCTGCTTTCCGGGAGGTGTTGCAATAAGGGAAAAGAGGAAAAAAAGGGTGTTCCCCGTGAAAAGGCGAAACTGGCTAGATGAGAAACTGGCTCCCCGGGAAGAGGAGGTTCGCGCCACGTCTCCGTACACGGGATCTTTAGGCGTACCTGGATGGTGACTGCCGAGGAGCCCGGTCCTATGACGCCGACCAGATTCTTGATGCGTCTGGACGGCGGTCCCCGACTGGGGCAGTTGGCCGGCACCTCGCCGCCGGTGACGTTTACGCCCCACCCGTGGTGGTCCTGGGCGCTGATGGCGTCCCGAATGAACTCGATGCTCTGTTCCAGGGCCGTGGGCGAGTACCAGCACGAGTCCCTGATCTCGATGCCCAGCGTCACGTTGGGCAGCAGCGTGTCGCTCCGGTTGATGTCGTCGATGGTCTGTAGGGACGCCTCCACACGTTGGATGCCGTAATGCTCGCGCACCTGCGGACGCGCGCGAAGAAGAAAACGAGAGCGAAACGTCACGTGCGAGGGTCACATGAATGCTACAAATCAAGGATAATGAACTGCTTTCAAATGTCTAATGCCTCTTGGGGCGCGTGTTTCATAGCCTGCTTTGAAGTGCTATGGTTACATCCCAATAGTATCTGTGCCACAAAAGCCTAACTTACTCAAGTTCACTGGTCGTCAGATGAACTGTTGAGAGGCTTCAACAATACCAACTTAAGCAGGTATACCTACTGTACTCCTCGTCACATTAGGGTAAAGCAAAGAAGCTTGGCGCATTATTTTTGCGCTAGGCAACGTAGTTCTTATAAAATTTGGTTGTCGAGAGAAGAAACGATGATTCTGGCGTTTGAAATGTATAGGTCTTGATTAAGTTACATAAATAAAATCTAAGGTGCACCTACATATGCCTTAATTAGGGATGTGAATGGGATTTTTACAAACGTTCTGGGAGGAGCCGCACTTTTTTTTTTCTAATGTGGTTTATGAGTTAAGTAAGTGTATAAACACATCGACCTTTTTATTCTTTTTTTTTATTATCTTAATTCTCTGAATTGTTGTCTCAAACCTGGAAAGAGCGCTCAAGTATCATAGGCACTCGACTGATTTGGTAGCTGTCCACGATCAATGCCCGCGCGTCTATTTTTCCATAGCTCGCGCCTACGTCCAATCACGGCGAACTATGAAAGCGGTCTAGCCAATGGCGAGGCACTGCAACTGTTTTTCCCGACGGAGCAGTTATGATGGGAGACTCTGTCCAACCCCACCTGGAGCGATCAACAGCTTGTGAACAGTCTCCTCTTCCTCCACGTAACGCATCACGCTCGGATGACACCAAATCAGCAATTGGGTCAAAGCCCGATGCCAAACGTCATTCGACGCACTAACCGGACACGAGGTCCAACCGAAAGCCGACGCAGAAACCTGCGCCTCCACTTGTATCTTCATTCAACTTCCCTTTGACGACGCCGAGCCCTACTAAGCCCGGCAAATCAAGCGGGGACAAAGGAGCCGAGGGAGTTGGCGCGAATACGAAGAGTGCGGGTGACGAATTCTACGAGCACTACTAGCACACCGATTAGTGTTCTCCCTGTCTTTAGATACCATCTAGCCGTTCGTTTCAACCGACGGCTACTCCGCCTCGAAAGTAGTCTTGAATGATTCGTGAGTAATGTTATTAACGCGGTGTTATTATCACAGCCAGAATTGCAGCTCAATTGCTCTCATGTGGCACAGCCATGACAAACCCGCGGCCGCAGGAGGTTCTGTGCCTGCGGAGTCGGATTTATAAATCCCAGATTGCGCAAGGAGGAACCGACAACTGTTCAAAAACACACAAGAACCTTTGTTTACGGCGCATGAAGATCGAATCGTTCGTACGTTGTACGGCTGTTAAACTAAACACACATGCGGACAGAACCATGCGTAGTATGTGTGCATCATCATGACTCTGCATAGACGTCGGCCGAGGGTTCGTTGGAATGGCAGAACAATCGAAGAAATATTTTTCCCAGTGCTGTAGGCATCACCGAAAAAAAAATGGAACGAAATACGTTAGTCATTACGGGCAAATGAAAGAAACGCCTCGCCGACGTACTTTTTCATTAAAATAAAATGAATATTTTAACGTTACCGCTACCGATAGCAGGTAACGCACATTACCTTTGCGTTACCTTTGGACGGCATCTATCCCCACTGCCTGCCATTCACAGCAACAGCGTTTTTGATACTGGCACAAAGGCCGTGGGCGTTGGGGGTTTCCTAAAGTGAGTGTGTTTGCGTGCAGAAAGAGAGGCAAAAGCTTGAAGGTACTTTTTATATGAGGGCAAGAATTTATAACTTGGCTCCTAAAACCACAATTTTTTTTTTAAGTCTTGTAAAGAAGAAACGGGTAACCTGACTACGTCATCCGTTGCTCGAAATAAGGGATGTAAGTACGTTTTCTGTTAGCCTTAAAAAATGTAACCAGTACGTTACTACGTTACAGAAAGAAGCAACGCGCTACCGGTAACGCTATTACTTGTAACGTCTTAATGCCAAAATCGTTTTAACTCAATGAACACGCTACTTAAATCGCTCATCTCCAAGCTTACAGTTGGTCGGTGGTCATCTTGTTATCACCAAAAATTAAAAAAAGAAACTTACAGCCCGGTATGATTGGAAGATTGATGCGTGAATAGTTTAAGAGCAGATAAAAAAAGCCAAACAAATATACTATTTCTTGCGTTTTATTTTCTATAATTTCAGCTAATGTAGATTTTTTTTTACTAAAACTATGAGGCGTTTACAATGCCAGAACCAATGATTATAAAGTAGAAAACCGAGCAAAGTTTTTATTCGGCACGATAGTATTCGATTCCACGAAAATTCTCCTTGTTGAAATCGTCGCTGCCATCTCTGTTGCTGGTCAATATTCTTACGCGTAGTTTGTTTACGTTTGAGATCGTCAAACTGACCTGAATTGCACTGTATACTTGGCAAGTTTTTTTGTTTTTTATACATCTTATCAGTGTTTATTAGTTAGATGGTTTATGGGCTATTCTTGAGCATTATTAAATTGTTATTTTAATTAAATTTTTAATCAGTATGATAATTCTGCACCAAATTGTTTTACAAGGTCCCTAGTATTGCCAATCGTAAAATGCAAAGAAAATACGTGAAACGACTATATGGCGAATTTTAGGCTTCTTCATTCAATTTTAACGTAATTTCTTTAAACAAACGGCGCCAGGTAATGCTGTATCCCACAGCTCTTTCAGGACAAAGTTATTCAGAGCGCGAAGGTAGCCTCATGTACGGGCATGGACGCGTGCTTTGTATTCTGTCGTCAGTGCCATGTGTGCTGCGTGTTTTGATATCCAACAATATTAATAGCCGTGCAATATCTAAAAATAGCGTCTTAAATTTACGCCGCAAATGCCGCGTCCTTGAAACTGACGAATAAATATTTATATATCAAGTTACATATCAAATTAATGGGCATTTCCCGCATTTAATTATGGTTAGCTTCGTTGTAAAAATATGCTGTTTCGAGTTACACTGATTCAACTAGGATAAAATACTCCCGTTAAAATTTTTGAAACACTCGAGTACACACAAGAAGCTGAAACGCTCTATTCATTTTCGTTTTTGTTCCAGTGATGAGCATAAAGCACAGTCTACACTTTTTTTACAGTCGGCGACCCTGTAGTACTTCACCAGTTGCCATCACTGGCCATCGGTGTGTGAAGGGCCATTAAGCATCGTCCCCTTCCGTAACTCAAAGCCCGGCGCAAAAGTGAGAAAAAACTACAGCTATTGGCTCGCAGGTCACTGCTGAGAAGGGAAGTACCCGCTTCATTGAACTAGAGAGCTAGCGAGCAGACCTGTAAGCCCACGACGGCATGCCTTTAATGCCTATGGTTCGCCGGACCACTGATGACGGCGATTTTCGTTGCCAGGTCGACAATGGGTAGAAGGGCCCTGCGGGAATGGGCTGACGGGGGTTCTCCTAAAATGACGACGCATTAGTCGACTCGCAGAAGCGTTTATTCCGCCCCGTGAGTGTGAGAGCACGCCAAAATTGCACCCGCACATTCTTTCGCTACATCCGAAATGGCTTGGATTTGAAAAGGACTCCACTCGTTCGTATGAATGGGAACGAAAGAAAAGAAAGTTCTCAGAAATAAAGTACAGAACTAAAACTTGGCGTTTAGAGCCTTTCCAAAGACCAGTGCCATCTGGTGGGTGACTGGAACACCAGTTTCGCTTTCCACAAACTAATGGCGATCATGACACCGTTTCATCACACAGATGACGCGTCAATGGAAGATGAGAATTGGTGCTTCAATCAGCTAATTTTTTTTCTTCAGTTTCGATGGTGTGAACAAAAGAACTGACCAGTACAGGGCGGCGACCCATAAGCGCCGTGATAAAATTTCCGCCATCAAAATACTTTAGGGTCAAACTTGTGCCAAGAGATCGATTGAACCACGCTTGAAAAAAAAAAACGCTTCCGTAGTCATTTCATCTTATTCGTGAGTCGTGTTCTACTCACGTGTCAAAGGTATATGTCTCACATATCCTGCATTTGGTGGTACCTTCAATTGTTTTCGTCATCAGCGCCAAGAAGGCCGACATTAGTTTGGCACAGATGCCATGCACCAATTAGATTGGATTCGATTTGATTCTTTGGCTTCCCCTTCGGAGCGGATGATCACAGAGCTTTGGATTCTGTATTTGGCCAGTAGTAGCCTATTGGGCAGGAGATCGAACTTTAGGGGGCGCTTTATCGAGGTTGTTGTCCCCACAGCCCGGTGTTTACTAACACAGCATAACAAAGAAATTGAACCTCGTCTTGCACGGCCTGGACACGAGCGCTTCGTTCTGACCAATGCTGGCCTTCGAATCGTCATCTTAGATATCGCTGATCAAAAACAAACAAGAAAATTCGGTTTTTTGGCCCCACAGCTGAAGCGTGCCGCTAGAGCCGTGACTTTCGATCTCCTCCCCAATACCACTTCCCTTTCCGCCGTCTCTTCCGTCTGTGTCTGCAGTTGGGTGACTGACTTGTGCACGCACTATGTGCTTTCCGCCTTCATTGCGTCTCCTGCCACCATACCTCCAGTCACCTTTTCGCCACCTCCACCTTCAAACGAATACCCTCCCGTTGCCCCGTCGGTCGCTCCCTTCTTCATTCTGTCCTTCGGGAGTTTCTTCTTCTTCGCCGCCGCTCCGGAAACACGAGGTGATTGACAAGGTGATCGTCAGAGGCTACGGTGCGATACACTGGCATCGTAGTACCAAGCGCGCCGTCGTATTGTTCGTCAGTCCATAAATCGAACAGGCCCTCTCCTGTCCCTCCGTAAACTTGTCTCTCCAGACCCGAATTCGTAGGGTCCCCATGCGGTCTTCCGCGAGAAGCCCACTACCCCTTGAGTTGTCATAACAGGTATCCTTCTCAACAGCCTTTCTCTTCGTGAGGTACAGTCGACGGGCAGGTATGGTCTCCATTCTGGCTGTCCATATTCTCGTCTTTGGCACCCCCGTGGTTTCTCTGCGGGTTTGACTGTGCACCTGCCTACATCCTCAAGCCAGTCCGTCGGAAATTCATAGCGCTGCGGTAGTTTTCGCACGCGTTGGATCCACTTTGTGCCTCTGTCTTTGTATATTATGTTACGCAGCGTGTGGTGCGCCCAGTTTTCCTACAGCAGTCCGTAGAGATGGCTTTTGTAGCTCGCTTTTGATCCGGCCTCTCTCGCTTGAAATGTAGACCAGCCCAGGTCCCCCTTACCTCCCTGGTTGGGCACTGCTTTTGTGACCGCCATGGCCATCCCTTCCACATCCCTCTGCCGCCTCTCCAGGAACTCCCTTGTTTGGGATAAGAGTACCAGCACACCATTTGCAAAAGTGATACCTGGAAGGAAGACAATCCTCGACAGGGCTCGGATCACCTCGAACCGGTTGAACGTCCAGAAAGATCTTTTTGCCAGGACTTCGTTTCTCCTGAGTTCGGCTGTCCTTTTGTCTTGCTTCTGATCTGAGAGATAATTCCACCATGCGTCAAGGGTCACTTCCAGCTTTTTGGTGGTATCCCACAACTTCAACGTTCCGCTCTGTAAGATCCACAGTTGGTCCAACAGCTGATTATTTTGCTGGTTGAACTGAGGACTGCACACTTGCTGGGGGTGCACTGCAGCTTGAGGCGCAAGCATACCTCTCCATATGTTTCCAGTAGCTCCTAAAGGTCCTCCGGTGAGTCGGCGTGGAGTACTAAGGTCAACGGCATACTTGAGAGCTGGCACTTCCTGTCTTCGCCATGCCCCCTCGACCTTGTATGGGAAGTCGAAGCTTCTTCCTGCCTGCTCCAGAGTTTTCTTGTTTTTTGTTCAGCGGTGTTATGTGTAAGGATAGAAAGCACCCCTGTCTCATGCACCTGTACACCAGCATCTGCTTCGTCTTGTGTCCCTCCCGTTCAACATGTATAAAAATGCCGGAGTGCGGTGCGTGTAGGCGTTTCACATCTTTTTCCGTTCAAACCCAGCTCGTGGAGACTTCCAGATTATACTCTGATCCATTATATCATACGCTTTTGAGATATCCAGGAATGTTGCTTGGAGCTGTCTGTCTTCCTGGGCTGCCACCTCGGTGCATTGTGTGATGTGTGTGATGAGATGAGGATAGTTATCACAATTGTTAGACTGAATCTAAAAAAAAAATCTCATGTACCGGATTTTTTTTTTTAGCTGCCAAAGGCGTTGTTGGTGAGGTTTCGCTGCGGATCCACGCCTGTGCTCGTGGTATTCGTCGCGGCATGGGACGTCGCAGCGTCAAATGATATCATGACGTCACGTTACACCTTGACGTTTGTCGGATAATTTTTTTTTGCTAAATGAAGCGGAAAAATTTTCCCCTCTAAAATTGGCCCGGAAAACTTCTATCTCTAAATTTAGCAAGGAAAACACTTTTTGCATGCGCTTTTCAAGGCGGTAAATTTCGTGGCAAAATATCAACGTGGAACAATTACTCGGACAAATTGAGCGGGAACATTTCTCCCCTAAAATTTGCGTGCGATCTTCTCCGCTAAAGCTAGCGCTAAATGACACTGCGTAAATGAAATAAATGCCTATGTGCTGGATGACTGCCGTAGTCTGTGGGCAGCAGATTTTGCAACGCATCGGCTGTCGCCGCACTTTATTTGCAAAACACGTCGAGAAACGTGGAAGTTTTGTTTCAGCATTTTGAAAGTAAAGTACCAGGAAAACAACAATTGGGTTAGGTTTGTGTCTGGGGAAAAAGAATCTATATTTGAAGGTTCGCGAAACTGAAACAATCTGGGTGTCAGCATAAAGACAGTATTTTCTGTTTGATAGAGCCGAGATTTCTGTTGAGTTTAATTTAGTGTCTTCGAGAGTAAACCAGGCGAGACGAACATGAATCGTCTTATCTTGTCCTCATCCTATAGCATAATTTGTCCAAGTACCTGAAGGCTATAGTGCACGAATTTAGCGTGCAAAAACAAAACATGTCGGTTGGAATTTGCATGCCTAATTTTAGCGTCAAAACAGTACAGTTTTATGGCTCGTGTTCTTGCCTAACAAAGCTGCGGGAAAGTAAAAAGCATTATTATTTTAATATTTTTATTTTAGTGTTTTCAGAACCGTGTTTAGAGTTCCTTTGTTATCTGGGTCATTTCCCTAAATGTTTGATATCTATACGTGCAAAAGAATAAGAACCTAAACCGACCTATTTAAAACAACAGTGAAGTGAAACTAGGCTTCAATCTTGGTAACCGCACACCGTTTAATGAAACAGGAGAAGACTAGCACATGAATATAAGCAGCCAGTAGTGACGCGGTTTTTACTCTGACATTTGTAAAATAAAGAAATAACGTTTTCATTCCTTTCCTGTTTCACGATGTTTGCTCTCTTTTTATCGCGATGCATACGCTGTGCTATAACAGGTCAGCCGAATCCAGCTCACACACTGAATACAAGCACCGCGTCTTTCGGCGTGTGCTCGGTGACACTTCATCTGTGGGCGAATATTCGGGTTCGTATTCGTGTCCAATTAGTGCCACGAAGGAGGGATAAAGCAATGTCAACGCAGAGCATGTGCGATAGGAATTGCCAACCCAGCTGCACGTCTATGGTTAGCAGGACGAGTGGACAAAAGCGTTGGCGACATGCGCGATGGAAAGCGTCGCTGTGGTCGGCCTTCCACGATTGGCCGAATGCTGACTATGACGTTAGCAAACAATTTCTCATTAATGGAAATAAGAGTAATGTAATAACTTCAATCTTGACGATGTTGGCAGCGCTGGCTTCAGAGCGCTATGATTTCCGACATTCACCATGCTCATTTAAAACACCATAGAACAGGTTGTTCGCAAGGTAATGACGTCATGAGAGGGAACCGTAGGAGGGCGCCACCAGAACATCTTGACACTAATACTCGATAGCTTGTTGCGGAGATCTTGCATAATGAGGGTACTGACGCGCTCTAAAGCACAACCTGACCCGATGCACGTGACCTCTCGTTTCGCAGGTGAGACAACGACAAAAAGAAATGTCGGGTTTTCTTCACATTTTCTTGTTCATGCCCTGAAATAAAAACGTGTTCCTATGCTTGGTTTCATGAAGATTTGGAATTTTACAATGTGGTCACTATTGATTAAATGCTGTAAAATAATTTAATTGCCCTCCTAAAGAGACCTACCAAGACAATCATTCACGAATCCTAACCGACTTTGACACGTAATGCCTGTAAACTGTCCTAATTTGAGCGATCGGAATAGACCTTTGAACTTCATTCAGCATCATTGACGTACAACATGTTTCTTTTTTCACTGCTATCCAGGCGAAGCATGTGATTTAACCCGAGCCCACCAAACACTGGAGCAAAACTCGTGCCAAATCGATAAACATATTGCACGCCCAAAAGACGACTGCCTCAGATAATTGGCGCGGCATATCCTAGGCAATAAACACCTTTGTAAAGGTTTGCTTTTAAACTTTGCCGATGAGACGAGGATAGTCGCGCACACCTATAGGTCCAATATCAGTGACTTTACATGTCTGATTACCTAGTGACAAAATTACCAGGCCGCGACGCTGCCGACGAGTTCCCCTTAAAGGTCTGACCACACAAGCGGCGACGGCACTGCCGGTCGGTGCCGCTGGTCGGGCCACATTGGCCACAGTTTGGCCAGCGTGGTATAGTCCCGTGCCACGTCACGCCGGCTCTCGTGTTCTCGAGATTGCCCGCGCGCCTCCGCCGTATTTCCCGCGCTTTAGTCGTCTGCTCTTCGTCTGCTCTTCGTTAAGTTCTACCGTTTCGGCTCCCATCTTTTGCAAATGGTATCAGCGTCGAAAACATACTCGCTGCCTACATGGGAGGTGTCGATGATGACCTGGTAAACAGCGTGAATGGGATCATCCTGGCCTGCTCGTTGATCTTGAGACGTCGCCGCGCTCCGAAGGGAAGGAGGCGCAAATTCTGATCTGGGTCCCGCCGAGCTGGCGCTAGCGAAACACCCAGGGACAGGTTTTGCTGCCCTGGCTGGACGACAGAGATAAAGGCTACTTTCGAGAGCCACCAAACAGACACAATGCAGGCGACATGGAACAGAAACTAAGGAAAAACTTCCGAATTCCTCTCCAATAATTTCCCAGCGGTTGTTCTTATGGTACTTATCTAGGTATAGTCTGGCCGCGCCTGGTCAAACAGAAAGGAGGAATGTCGCACAGTTTCAAGGAACCACGCCATTGGGAAAAACATTGGGGGAAATAGAGATTGCAGAAGAAACGAAATTACGCTACGCTCATTTGAACCGTGAAAGACGCGCGGAGAAGCGGCTTTCGCGTTGCCATGGCATCGCAACATCACTATTTACGCCACCTCCTCTTGACTCCCTTCTTTTGCGGCAAAAAACGGCGAGCCCTCAACCGCGCGCCGGCCGGTTGCCTGGACGGCTCCGAGCTTTGAGCCGCTGAGGACGAAAACTGGTTTTGGACGGCAGCCCGCGGCAGCCATAGGTGGGCGGCAAGCCTCCGCGACGCCAGTGTGGCGGGGCCTTAACCACTCTACCCCAGTCTTGCCTCAGATAAACGTGTTTTTAGCTTAACTAGTTTCCAGATGAACCCTTCTTCGTGAAGCGAATTTACCTGCTACGTTTCTGTTTTGTTTTTCGGACTTCCTGGGTCGCGTTTGGCAAACAGGTTGGACGGTCATTCTTGATGGGTGACTCACCTCTCCGCAGGTGCGCGTCTGGGCGTTCTTGGCGTCGGGCGACTGATGGACGGGGAAGAGGGCGCCGATGATGAAGTCCCCCGGGATGCTGCCGATGTGGCGCTGCGTGGTAACCGGCACGGCGGCGGCGCCGCAACCCCCGTGCCTGCGCTGCATGGCCAGCTGCAGGGCCAGGGCCAGCAGCAGCCGCGTCGAACCTCCGTACCACCAGCGTGCCGGACGGGCCGCTGCTGACGCCGGGGACGCACTACTGCCCGGACGCATCGCAACACCGCCGCCGGGGCCGCCTTATTGTCGTCGCGCAGGGCCCTGCAACAGACGCGACCACATGTCGGCACATTCGATTCCTGGGCTTACATCACAGGACGAATGAATGATTCCTTCACTACACGTTCCCGTTTCGATATGAACGAGGATCGCAAGGGAGTGGGGTCGTCGTGCATTCACAGCGGGGACGCTGCGCTTGGTAGCAGTACAGGAGCGACATATAGTTGCAACCGCGCGTACAAACATTAGCTTTATGCCTCCAACTTTCAGTGGCATTTCACAAGTATCGAATGCAGCGTAGGCACTGCATTCCTTGGTGCTCAAGTTGTGCGAGTGCACGGGTTCTTGCAATTCGTGCACCAAACTGGCGAAACAGCGAGCGCAAGGCAGTTTCTTTTACGCGTTCGGATTGAGACCTGTAAAAATTGAGATACGCCGATAGCCCTAGAGACGAGGTGACACTGCTCATACATCATACAAAAGCGACAGTGTGCAAACACGAGTCACCGCAACATTCGTGGTTCGAATGCCGCGAGCCCAAGTCTTTCCTCGGACTCATTGCCATGCGGCATTCGAAGCACGGATCTCGCGATGACTCGCGTTCGAGTCTGTCTGCAGATTCTATTTTGCATGATGTATACGCGGTGTGAATCCGCCGAATGGCGTAACCGTAAGAATCGTCACTGATGCTCTCACGTAGTTCAATTCCACACTGTCACGTGACAGCGTCAGCGACGGTTGCTATGGTTACGCCGCTCGCCGCCACAACGCAACTCGTTTGTTTTATTCTTTTCTCGCGAGTATTTTATGCTCACAACACGCTATCTAAAATCGCCTTTCTATCCCAGGTAAGGGGTCTATGCATCGTCCGTCTCCTCGACCTTCCCGCCTCACCTGCGGTTTTCCCGTCGGTCAACCGGGTGGTCGCTGCGGTGCCGGTGGCTGCTTCTCTCGGGACACTGCTGGTCGTCACGGAGTTCCTCGTCGCCGGCGTCGCCGTGCGCGCGCCTGGCCTGACCGGAGGCACCAGCCGTCGGCGCGGTCGCGGCACGCGGTCATGGGACGATCGTCCGAGGCGCCGCCTGCATGGAGCACAAGCGAGAACAACGCAGGTTGAGAAAGACACTACGCAGGTATCCGTGCGTTTATCACGCAACACTAGAGTGTCTGGAAACTCGTCTCCGATTGGTGTGTTTAGCGCGTCTCAAGAAGTGGCTCCCCAATTCACGTTGTTGGCGGGCGCGAATCCTGGCGGTGTAGCAGCAGCGGGGGTAGTTGCGGCAGACAGCTGTCCTACGGTAGACACCTGTCCTGCCGCAGGTCGTTCTCTCGCTTGTCGGTCCACGGAAGCTTCAGCAGTCAAGAGTTGGGACTCCGCGACAACAGCCGACACTCGCCTTTGCACCTGTATGTTTTGCCGGAACTTCTAGCGCCGACCGCCAGGATCCGGAAATCCAACAACATCAGATGCTGACTTCAGTAACGTCGTATGTAGCCACTTCGGGATAGGACGCTAAACACACCAGTCGAATACGAGTTCCCGGCACCGTATACCCCAACACAGACAGGGGGATCGGTGGCCGAGTGTGTTGGCCTCAGAGCACCTGGTGCGAAAGCCAAGAAAGAAGAAAACCAAAACACGCAGAGCGAAAGCGTGTGCTGCTGAGCACAACAGGGATCCGGGGCTCCTCAATCCCCACCCCTGCGCTTTTCAATCTGGATGAGCGTCGTACCGGCATGTGGGCGAGCAATTACTCCCGCGTGATTTGCATCGAAGATTCCAGGCTAGCAGTGGGTACTGCACTGACCAAACATCTCATCTACAGCGGAGACAACAGACACCAACTTGGCCTCACTACCTTTGCGCTCTCGACAGAAAAGCACAACTCGATTTTACGCCACAGCGAACTTATATACCAGGGATGTTTGAAACCGCATGGTTCGCCTACGTACGAAACCTTGCCACTTGGTAGCACAAGCTCTCTTGCACCCTTTTTGCACCCTCGTTTGAAAATTGCGGGCGGCCACAGCCGAGACGCGCCCCCAGAAAACTCGAACGTGGTGTGATTTTCCTCCTAGACAATGCGCCTCGTGAGTCGTAACACTTCCCGGCGGGCCTTTTTGCAGCCGATTCGGGAGTATAAGTGTGAACTCTTTCGCACCCATCCAACTCGCGGGATTTGGCCGTGGTCATGCTACTAATTAAGAGTACAAAAGACGGTCGGCAGACAATAGGTAGTTTAAGGGAACCTTTTTTGCAGATCCGATACGGTACGATGAACCGTCGGGTACGAAATGCGCATATGCGAGTCTTCTGCTGTAGCGCATGCGCAGTTCGTACCGGAGGACCCATCGTACCGTATCGGATCTGCAAAAACGGTTCCCTAAAACTCTTTATCGTCTGAATCATGTTTCTTCCTTGCATGATAGTCCTGTCCAGTTTGGTTATACAAAACACTGTCTGCAGAGATCTGTGAAACACAATGGAAGCTAGCGTGCTTTAATTGTACTTGAGGCGTGTCCGAAGATAACTCTGCCATAACGTATGCAGCGAACACTGTGTCTTGTGTACGATGTACGAGCACGGTGACCGCGGCTCCAGATTCTAGTGCGTTTCCTGAACATCTATGACCTCTCAAAGATACTATATCCCCAGTGACGACTTTGTCGTTACCATGGGCGTACCAACCGGGGGGGGGGGCAAGGGGGGCGCGTGCCTTTCCCCCCAGCTTTCGCAGTCGGGGGAAAGGCTTGTGTTTTGCCCCCCCACCTCCCCGCCCCCTCCACCCCCTTAAACAGCCGTCCCTGGGCAGGGCAAACACTGGCCGGCGGCGCCCAAGGGATACCAAGGGCACCGCTCCCCGGCTCTGGGGGGCGGGGGGGGGGCGGGGGGGGGGGGGGGGGGGGAGGGGGGGAGGGGGGGGGTCTGGTTTGCCCCCTCATTCAAAAACAAGTTGGTACGCCACTGTTCGTGGAATCTGTGCGTGAGTGGTATGAGGACCAAGACAAAACTTTTTGTTTCGTGACTGCCTGGAGCTGATCTGGTTGGTATGACATGATTCTGAAGGTTTCCAGCTGAACGTAGAGGGAACAAACCAAGGAGTGGAGAAAAAGAGACACACACTGCTGGTGTGTGTCTCTCTCCGCGGGTTAGCAGCACTAGAACACCGCTGGGTAAAGTGCGCTACACTCAAAGGGTACCACGTAAAGAAGTCCTAAGGTGCAATTTGTCGCGAGACACATTTTGTTTACAGGAATGCACACAACTTCTCAAGGATTACCTCGTAGTTAATGATAGGTTCAAGTGCGACCGGTGACAGCCTTCAAGACTATTGTTAAAGGGATCGTTCACTGTTCTTTGTCGCTAGTGATTAGCTCGTTGTGACATCGCAGGCTTTTCCGCGTGACGCCTCGTGTTGCCCAGGGGCGTTGGGCAGCGGTGGATTGTTTTTCTTTTTTGCTGTTGAAGAGGTTTATGGCCCCGATCGGTTCAAACCCGAACAATCACGGCGAAGCTTATGACCATACTCCGGTAGATCATTGTTTTCTTGTTTGCGTCATTAGGGGAAAGGGAGGGAGGCATCATTTTGGTATTACAGAAAGTAGAAAAGTAAAAAACAACTATGAGTCTTGTAGATGTACTTTTTGAACACACCGGTGCGCGTAAAACGAAAACCGATCCATGTTTCATGCATTGGGAAGATGGAGTGTTCGTTATGACAACTCAACTATGTTTCGCGGTAAAGGTTAATTCCAACATTCGCGTCGGTTGCACACTGCAACCTTATTAGGTTAAATATTCCCTCACAATGTTACCTCTTTGTTTCTGGTTTCACTCTCGTGCCCAACAGCAAAGGAGAAGGGAGTTGAGTTTTCTTTTCATTCATACATTAAAGTATCAACTGTAGATTTAAACACTCCTGATGGTGACGATTTATGTTAAGCAACCTTCCCAACTCCAGACCAACACTCAGTGGAAATGGGTGTTCGACCATGAATGCGGAGCATAAATAACTGTTTAACTGCGAAGAAAACACGAGAAGGGAATTTCCAAATAGTTCTCCTACCCTGACCGGGAGGCCAGAGGCCGGGGTTATACGAAACCCTTTTATACAAGCTGTTAGTATTCAACCAACTCTCCTAGCCGCATCTTTTAGCAAACCCCCCCCCCCCCCCCCCCCCCCCCCCCCCAAGTCGTTCACACGTCCCACGAGGACGAATACGCGCGCCATTTTTTTTAACGTTGCTTTTTTATTTATTTCTTATAGTAGAGTGCGGGATTTGTTAGGTCGTTTTCCAGTGCTGGGCGACGGAGGCCGTGATTTGTGCAAACACTTGTTTTATTGTTGTTGTTTTTATTCTTGAAGCTTTTGTGTTTGGTTATAGCATGTTTCCTACTCTCCTAGCCTCAACAGTTTCCTCACGCTTTCTTCTTCTTTCTTTTTTTTAGGTTATTCAAACTTTGGAGTTGCCAAAAAAGCATTGTTTATCACGCTGCCTACACACAGCAGGCAAAGAGCTCTCCGTCGAAGTGCTTGCAGTCTGTCTCGGAAAACTGCGCCATAAATCTTCCTCGAGTGCTCCTGGAATACAGTTGCCGCCGTTCCCTAGTGAGAGACGGGCGCCCGACGCGTACACTCCACGTCTTTAAAGCAGGATACGGAAGCATCTATCTGACTCGCAATGTATTGCCAGACACCTCCACCAGAATGGTTTCACCCAGTCGGCTCGGGCGCGTTAAAGCAAACCGAACTTTATGTATATGCACCAGTGTGCTTTTGAAGCCCAGAGCTGAGAGCTTGTCTGTATCATTAGCGAGTTTTCAAGTAGCGTAGGCAAGGAACTGGCTTCATTGCCATGCGCATACGCCAAGCTTTGCAAGCAGCGAAAGTGTGCAGGCGAGCTGGTTAGGACACATGATAAGCTAAATCCTGAGGCAAGGAGACGTCGCTACTTCCTTGCGTACGCGAAGCTTTTGGGTGCACTGTTCTAAAACTCGCTATTAGGTTGTCTCAGACGTAGGCGATATTCAACGGCATTAAGCAAACGATAATATATCTTTCCGCGTTCAATGTGGACTGATGTTCAAGTCAAATAATATGATGGACGTTTGGCAGCGAAACGTAATTCAGCCTAGAAATTGCGTAGTAAGTCACCGTCGGGCCAGGTAAATGTGCGACGTATGGTGCAACAGTTAACCAGAATTCTTCAATGATGTGACGTTTGTGTCGCAATTGGAGGCCGTGGAAAATAGCCTCGCTCTTTCTGATGGGGAAATTGATCCGGAGCAACTTAAAAGCCTTCTTCTTTCGAGCCTTTAGTTCAGTTAACGTTAACTCGTGATTGCGTGTGCGTCAAAATATAAAACATAAAGCGAGTCCGAACTTCTCTAAATTCATAAACAGATAGCACTAGCACAAGGTGCCTGCAGTGCAAGCTTTTGGTTTTTAACATGTAAAACTCCGGTGCGTGAGGCAGTAGAGACTATGAAAGAAAATATATATATTGATCTAAGAAGCCTTAATATTCAGGCTTTTCTAAGTTTACGTGCGAAACGGCAGCCTCATTATGTTTCAGTGGAAAGAGAACTGAAGGGTGTGGCACCATTTGCTTTGGTGTGTGTGCGGGCATTAAACGCATTTTCAATTGTTTATTTTAATCAGAATACACACTCACCTTCAAAACTAGGATGGCAAAAAATCAAGTAAACGAATGACACAAATTTAATTTATTTGAGTCATAATAGAAGTTATCGGGAAATAATTTATATTTCCCCGACACGGGAAAACAAAGCGAAAAATGCAATTCTTAAAACGAATGCATTCCCAGAAAATAAAAATGTATTCTCAACCGTAATCTGTCTCACTGGCGCACGCAAACCACACGCGCATGTGCACGCCACATGGTGCAAATTCCATGCACCCACATAGCATAAAAATCTTAAAGAGACGCTGCAATGATTTTTCTTCTTTGCATAAATACCGCCTTACAACAGATCCTTGACGTTAATGACCTGTGAAAAACCCCTTTGTTTTTCATCACACGCAAACAAAATCGCAAAAAAAAAAATTAAAAAAAAAGC